TGTGGGGCCAAGTTCAAGGGAAGGACTTCTTCCCCAAAACAAGTCGATTCTCAAGCTCTGTTTGGAAAGTTCTGCACCTCCACCAACAGTAAATCATATCTCAGCCTTTGGCAAGTTTATAAACCACCTACCCTTTTATACTTCCCAGCAACATTTTCCTCTGCTTTGAGCTTCGATAAAGATTACTCTGCCCTTATCATGGGGAAAGCTAGAACAGGGGAGAGATGATATAGGAACAAGTCACCAACTCACCACACAGCCCTTCTGAAACTGAACAGCTCTAGAGATGTGGGGAGAAAAGGGTCACTAGCTTTTTTCAGCTCTTAGCTAGGATTAATAAGGGCTTATTATCCACCAGGCATGGTTCTAAGCACTTTATATGCATTAATAATTTCATTTCATATAGAAAATGACCTTATAATAAAGGTATTCTTATTGTCCTCATTTCACAGATGAGGAAGCTGAGGTTTGGAGGATAATTAACTTGCTTTCTTGTCTGGATAGTCATTGACCAATTCCTAGAGCCCAAACTTTTATCCATATAGTCTTTCAGACTTTCCAGGCTCCTGTGGTCAGCTTCATAACTGCCAATTCCACAGGCTCATCCTAATTAGGTGCTTTATTCGGATCTCAAGAAAATGGCTTTCACTGCATCCTGGAATGCAAGCTATGTCTCCTGAGGACATGACAGCATTGAATTTGTCCCGCAGATCTCAGGTGGTTTTGCGATGCCTCTTATCTTAGGTAGCTTTCCAAGATGTGGCCTGTTCTGGGCAAATAGAAGCTCTGGTATGATCCCCATGACAGAGCGTGGACATCCCTGTCCTGCTCTCTTTGACAAAGCATACTGGTCAGTCGGTGGACACCCTCACCCGTTCAATGCCACTGGCTGCGCCGGGACCTTTCTGACCTGCTTGCTGGCACAGGGAGTACAGAGGAGGGAAGATCAATCTCCAAGATAATTTAGGTTCTGTCTTTCCTTGAACCAGCCTCTGTCCTCTGCTCTAGGCCTGACGACTATGATTAATGCACAGCCAAGTATTTCCTCTCTTCAGCTTCTTCCTTGCTCTGGGGTTTATTTTACAGTCATTGCCAGAGTTTCTCCTCAGAAGAGAGTAAATACTCAGACTGGAGCACAGTCCTTGATGTTACTCAGAAAGCATCGCAGGCAGCAGGTGGTACCAGGCCATTCCTGTAGTAGATGATGTGACTGTTTAGGGTTCCATGCTAACCTACCACCTCCATCAATGGAGGCCTAGTCTTTTAATTATTCAGAAAATACCAAAAATAAGGATTTCACGGAAGGCAATTAATAGGATCACACAATCTATTCCTTGTTTGTAATTATATATTATTATTTTTCTTCCTATTTTGTTCCAATAATGATTTAAGGCTGCTTCCAATGATGCACAAAATTCAGCAAAGAGAAATGGAAGAAGTGGGACATGAATTATAATGTCATGCTTGTTCACAACATCTTTGCCCCAGTCCACATAATAGAATTGAATTCATAATGCCTCTCAAAAAAATGAGGTAATTCAGTTCTTTTGGTGGCAACACTAGGCTCTTTGTAAAGTGAGGGGGTGGTACACAGTAATGGAAAGAACCCTAGAGGGGACAAGTGATCTGGATTCTAATGTTGGCTCCTTCAGTGTGTGACCTTGGGCAAGTCACTCACCCTCTCTAGACTTTGGATTCTGAAATTCTTAAATGTTTCTGCCAATCTCTGAGGCCCCCTTCTCCCTCCCTCTCACTCCTGCCATCACACAGGCAGAAGCCAGCACTGCCCATCTGACATGAGGCCCCTAGGAATTGCTGTTAGAGAAATGGGCTCCCAGGAATTGCAGGCTCTCTCCCTCCCTCCTTTGCGGTCCCTCACCCA